TGTTTTTATTGATATCAGAAAGGAAGAGAGAGGGAGAGAGAAATAGAAACATCCATGATGAGAGAGAATCATTGATTGGCTGCCTCCTGCACGCTCCCTACTGGGGATCAAGCTCACAACCCAGGCATGTGCCCTTGACCAGAATTGAACCTGGGACTCTTCAGTCCACAGGCCAACATTCTATCCACTGAGCCAGCTAGGGGCTTAGATTATTTTTAGACAGGAGGTGCCAATGAAAGGGGGGAAAAAAATCTGCTTTATACTATTTTTAAGAGATTTTAATAACAAATTTCAAAATACTTATTTTTTTATGGATCAGAAGCTCAAGCATGGATTTCAGAATTGGCTGAGAGGCCACACGACCCCAGCTCACCATCCTGGCTCTGCTCCTGCTTGTCCACGCTGCCCTGTCCATGGTCTCCTGGCACCTCTGCCTCCCGCTGACCAGGGCACCGCTGGAATATCCTTCCTCATGGCATCGCCAGCGCCCAGCAGAGCGTGTCCCCTGCACACAGCAGGGACGGCTGCGCTTCCCTCCCGGGTGACAAAGTGTGAGCACTGCGGCTCTCGGGCCCCCATCAGGATGCTTCCCTGTCACACAGAACTGAACGGTCTCTGAGATGATGTAGGAGCAGGAAGCCGATTTCAGGCTCTGAAGGCAGACAGAACAAGAGAAACTGTAGCTCTGCCCCTTCCTGCATGTGTGGCCCTGGGCACGTCATGTCACCCAGTCTCCCCAGGGCTCAGCTTCCTCAAAAACAAAGCGGGATGGTCGCTGTCTCCCAGGGTCACGGTGAGGATCCATTACAGGTGGCGGCAGCTGCTGCTACTACTATCATCATCACCATCATCATCATCACCATCAGATAGACAAGTCAAGAGCCTATCTGATGGTGATGTTCTGCGTCCAAGGACACAGAACGGCTCTGTCTGAGCATTCCTCATTCGGGGCAGCCACATCTTACTCAAAGGGAGCAGACAGAGAAGTGCCAGTGAAAACTGCAGGAGAAAAGCCTATTCAGTGGAGACGGACGCCATCCAAGCCCTCAGCCTGGCTTAGCCCCACACTAAGCAGACTCCACAACAGGTGGCTCCGAGGAGGATCCCGGGACACACTCCAGGCCTCACGAATAGACGAGACGCAGGAGGGCCCCAAAGTTCAACTCAGAAGGGCCCGAGCAGGCTGCTCTGCACGAAGTCTGCTCAGCTGGTCCCCAGGAGGAAAGGAAAACCCTCAGGGGGCCAGACTCTCAGGGAGAGAACCTCTTCCTGTGTTCTGTTCCAATTGTGCCCTGTTTCCCACATGTACAAAAGTACATAAAATAAACCCATTTCATTTCACGCAGGAAGTTAGGAACTACCATTATCTCGCTCGTCACACACTTAGTAGAGGGCAGAGCAGGGATTTGAACCCAGAGCCCAGGTGTGCTCATGGTGGCTGGCTCCCAGGTGCTCACATCAGTGTCTTTCCTTCCTGGATGGGCATGCGTGCCTCTTTCTCTCCACAAGGAAATTCCCCATCCTTATTTTTTTAATCCTCACCCAAGGATATGTTTTTATGGATTTTAGGGAGAGAGGAAGGGAGAGGGGAAATTCCCCGTTCATGAACCTGAGCCACCGCAGTGACCTGAGCTGGTGCAGGTGGCTGGACTCTGAGGCTCAGGCCTTTAGCCCCTGCCCGGACCCTGGAAAAACCCCCTGCCCTCCTTCCCCCCGCCCCGAGCCATGTCCCAAGTGCAGCTCCCCTGGACGGCCTGGTGGTCAACCATCTGGCTGAGCCCAGTCCTCCAGCATTACCACCAAGGCAGCAGATGTGTGAGCTAAGGTTCTGGAACCTCCCAGCCCAGGGGAAATACCAATTCAGTACCACCAAACAGCCACAGCCCAGGCCACAAAGAATGGAGGAATTGCCCAGCCCAAACCTCAGGCCCACACATCTCCTCACTCAGATGCGATGGCAGCCACTGAGCCCACTCGGGATGACCCTCCTGCTGACCTCCCAGCAAGCCTCTCCTTGGTCCCCCCACACAGGCCTCTGCTCCGCTGTGAGGCCTCTCCCACTTCCTGTCACCTGCCCCACCCAAAGGACAGAGCCGGTCCTCCTCACAGGCACCCAGTGCAGACCCTCCCTGTGGGGGTGACACGCAATCCCCACCTTGACTGGCAGCCGAGTCTGCTTCCCCTGCTTCCCCTCCAAGGCCGGGACCCCATCCCCCACTCAGCAGAGTCTAGGTCCCAATAGGATAGCAAATATGGGCTGAACTCATCAAACAGCTCCCGGACCAGTTTCTCCACCTTGGCACCACTGACACTTTGTGCTGGGATTGGTTTGTAGTGGGCTGTCCATGCACTGTAAGCCGTTCAGCAGCATCCCTGGCTTTGGTTCACTCCCTAGAGCACATGTGTCAAACACAAGGCCCGCAGGCCAAATCCGTCCCGCCAGGCCTTGCAATGGTGGCCTGCACCGCGCTGTCATCACTGCACTCTGCTGCGTTTCCATCACAATGACAGTTTATGACTGTTCAGTAAACCATTCGGCCCGCGATTTAGGCTGGATTTTAGATTTTGGCCCCTTCTCTGATTGAGTTCGACACCCCTACCCTAGAGGCCATGAGCACTCTCCCCCTCCATCATCACAACTAAACATGTCTACAGACATTTGCCAGGTGCCCAGGGGAATCGCCCTGTGGAGAGAAGCCCTCACTGCTCTGGACAGTGGGTCTGTGGGAGTCTGGCCTCCTCAGCCAGGCCCACATGGAGGGTGTGACACCTGCCAGAAGTCACATGCCACATGCCCCACACCCACATGCATGCTCCCTCATGCCAGCCTGCCCCATGCAGACCTCACAGTCACCTGCAGTCCCTAATTAGGACCCTAAAGAACACTGCAGGGGGGTATCCCCTCGGGGTATCTCACTGACAACAGGAGGCTGAAAACATGGCCCTAAGAGCCCCCGCCCAGGGCCCAAAGGCCTGCTCGCTCATCCTAAGCTCTTTACCCCAGAATTGGCTTTTCCGGTAGCTTCACAAACACACCAACCCAGCCGCCTCACACAGGACTGCCAGAGCACGATCAAAAACACAAATGGGACCACATCACCCTCTTCTTGAAACCCTTCAGTGGATCCCACCAGACAGTGTCCCAACACCTGAGCCAGACTGCCACCCGCAGAGCTGCCGGCCACTCGTTACAACTGCAGGCAAACGTAACGGCAGCAGTGCCAGAGGGCTCAACGCTCATCCCAGGCGGCTGCGTTGAGCCCCTCTGGCGTATTCCCTCCTTCACTCATTCCCAGCTATCACTATGTGGAGTGCACACCTATGTCCATTCTATTGAAAAGGGAATTCAGTCTCAGAAAACAAATGTAACTTGCCCAGGGTCACACAGCAAAGCACACTGAACGCTGCTCGACTCAGTGGCACAACGTAGGCTCCATGAGGAAGTGAGTGTCATCTAATTACTGCTGTGTCTCCAGTACTGAGAACAGGCCTGGCAGAGCAGGCATTCAAAAATGGGAGGGAGGGAGGGAAGGAAGGACGGAGAGAGGGAGGGAAGAAGGGAGTATATGTCAAACCTAGCTAATTACCACCATCAACTGGGAGTCTATTAACTTAAGGTGACCAGACGTCCCGCTTTTGGCAGGACAGTCCCAGTTTTTAACAATTTGTCCTACGCCCCATGGCGTTTTAAAAAAAAAAAAAAAAAAAAAGTCTTGATTTTTTGAAAGATTCTTTTCAAAAATTGGGACTGTTTTAAAGTGGGACCCGGGACAAATTGTTAAAAATCGGGACTGTCCCACCAAAAGCAGGACGTCTGGTCACCTTATATTAACTACCATGCTCAGTCCCAACCAGTCTCAGCAGTGACACCATCCTTAGCCACCCCAGGGAGAAGGGGGAATTGCTTTCAGTTAACTGAGGGGAGAACTACCTGGCATGGACTTCAGGAGCCAAGTCCTGTCCGGTGCCCCTCAGAACGGGTTTCTGGAGAAGGTTCCAGCAGCTTAGACTTTCGAAAGCCCCCAGGTGTTTCTCATGGCCAGCAGGACCCATCCACTCGGTGTAGCACACCTGTCACGTGCCCTGCAGCCTCCCCACCCCCCAGCTGCAACAGGTTTCTGAGTGCCTGAGAGGTTGAGTGTGGCCAAAGCAAACAGAGATGGGAAGAAAGTTGGCTGCTTCCACAGAGTTTCAAAGCAGGGCTTCGGGCTCTGGGCCATCCCAGGCCCCCTTGGCTCCAAAAACAAGAGCAACCTTGGGGAAGCTGTTTACTCTCACCCATGACAAGAGAAATCAAATGAAGAATGGCACCAAGCCACCTGACTCTACCTGTGAATGGCCCCGTTCAGAACCACATTACCGTGTGGGGAACAGGTCCTCTCACATACCGCATGGGCTGCTGTGGGGTATTGTCAGACTCCCAAGTCAATTAATACTCTTTAACTCAGAAATCACTCTACTAGGAAGTTGTCCTTTGGATATCCCCATACAGGTATAGAAAATAGAATGCACGAATAACCCTTGCGCACGGCGGGTGGGAATGTAAAACGGTGCAGCCAGTTGGAAGACAGTCTGGCAGTTCCTAAAATGATTAAACACAGATAACACTCCTAGGAATCTACCCAAGAGAAACGAAAGCATGCAGCCACACAAAAACGTGGACATCAACACTCATGGCCGCACTGTTCCTAATCGCCAAACAGAAGAAGCAACTCCGTGAACGAGTGGATACACTAATGGTGGAAGATCCATGCAATGGTATAGTATTCAGCCATAAAAAGGCAAAGAGGCATGACACATGCTACAAGGCGGACCAACCTTGGAAGCATGAGTGGAAGGATCCAGACACAAAGGCCACCATCTTAGTTAAAGGAAATGTCCAGGTCAGGGAAATCCCGAGGCGCAGAAAGTAGCTGAGTGGTTGCTTAGAGCAGGGAGAGGACTGGGAACAGAGGGTGATGCCTAATGGCTTTGGGGATTCTTTCTGAGGTGATGAAAACGTTCTAAAATTGATCATGGTAGTGGTTGCACATATCTGTGAATACACTAAAAACCATGGAGTTGTTCATGTTAAATGAATTGTATAGTGTGTGAATTGTATGGTGCGTGAATCATAAAACTAAAAGAAGAAGGAGAAGGGGCAGGGGAACAGGATGAGGAATAGGAAGGAGAAGAGGAAGAATACAAAGATAGCAAAAGACCAGGAACAGTCCAGGTCCCTCTCCAGGGGTTACACTGTTACCTGCAGCCAGAATGCTGTGTGGCCCTGAAAAAAGGCAGGACAATGTGCCGATAACAAACCACCTCCAAAATAATTATTAAATCTAAAGAAAAGAAACCAGGTGCAGAAGTGTATACAGTAGGTACCCACTTGTGCAAAAAAAAACATGACACACACCCACAAGCATAGAGTATTTCTAGAAGATAAACTTGACAATGAGCTTGCCTGTGCAGCATGGGATGAAGGCTGAGGAAGAAAGACTTTTATGATTTTTTTGTTTTTTTCCCCCCAAGTATACATTTCAATTTTTCAATTAAAAAGTAGTCAAGTTCTGGCCACTGTGGCTCAGTGATTAGAGCATTGGCCCATGCCCCAAAGGGTTGTGGGTTTGATTCCTGGTGACGGGCATGTATCTGAGTTACAGGTTACAACCTTAGCCCTGGTCAGGGTGTGTGCAGAGGCAATCAATCAATGTGTCACTCTCACATCAATGTTTCGCTCTCTCTCTCTCTCTTCCCCGCTCCCCCTTTCCACTATCGCTAAAAATCCATGGGGGAAAAATTTCCTCAGGTGAGGATTAACTTTTTTTTTTTTTAAGTAGTCAATTTAAAAAATGCAAATTAAAGCAAGTCTCTGCAACTGATACTTGCTTAATTAAGTATCCTCACTCTGTTAAAAAAAACAGTCTTAGAAACTTTAGGAACTGAGCCAATTGCCTAATCTAAGGGGGGTGGGGAAGGGAAGACACCTCCACCAGAACCAGAAACTCATCAGAAAGCTGCAGAGCATGCTCTGTCCACATGAGCTACGGTCAAGGCCTTCACCCTGTGGTTTGCAGTGAGATGAGACAGACATGTACCTCGCCACCAAGCTCTGAGTTTCCACAAACTCTGGCCTGTTAGTCCCTAAGAGGGCAGAGAGCTTGGCCAGCGACAGACACCAAATGACCCTGATGCCATCAGACTGAGCACAGCCCCTGCTGGCCCAGGTGAGCTGTCTGGGTGTCACTTCCAAGTTGGCCTTAGAAGACATGGGCTGCACTTCTCTCACCTGCTCTAAACCCCATCAGAGGCCCAGACAAAGTGGCCACATTTCCATTTTTAGAACAGGAGAAGGTATCAAGACAACAACGGCAGTGACGAGTGAAGGCAGGAAGGTGAGAAACCACGCAGGCCAGGCCACGGGGAGGCAGGCCACACTGCCCTGCCCAGCAGGTACTCACGGAAGCCCTCGATCTTGTCGGCCGTCTTACTCCACGCCACCTGCCGCGTCTCCATGATCACCTGGACGGTCCTGCGCTCCGGGGTGGACTTGCGGAAGCTGAACACAGTCATCACGGTGCCCAGCTCCAGGGCTCTCTTGATCTGACTCTTCTCATATTCCGGAAGGGCGTCCACGTTGACCATGGTGGTCATGGCTGGCCGCTCCAGGGAAGAGAAGGAGGCGCGAGGAACAGGGAGGCTGGAGGGCAGGACAGAGGAGTGTGAATTGGAGTTAGTTCGAGGAGGAGGATTTAGATCACAGGGCTTGGACTTCCAGAGCCAAACACTGTCTCATGCCCACGGGGACGAGTGTTAGGAGAAGATCCTGGTGGCAGCGAAGTGCTGGCCGCTCAGACCCACACGGAGGTTTAAATGGAAATGGAGGTATGGGAGGACACCCCTGACCTTATGGCCCAACCGCCACTCAGGCTTTGAATAACCAAATTGGCCCCGCCTGGCTGGGAGCCCCTCCTGCCCCACACACTTTCACACTGTGGAATATTTGAATAGTCAAAGCAGCCCAGGTTGGCTCTCAGCCCTCATCCCCAACACCGGCATCCTTATCTATTCTGCCAAGGAATTTCTAACCATCCCTTTATTTCCTAAACGAAGTTGGAAGCAGAAGAAGGAGAACAAAACTTCAGAATGTGTCTGTGGAGACCTCTGCATGGAAATGGGGCCAACAGGGCAGAAAACCTTGGGGCCCGGCAGCTTCAAGTTCAAGTGCTGGTGTAGGTTCCTGCTGACTCTGTGGCCCTGGGCAGGCTGTGGGGCCTCTGCAAGCCTCAGAGGCTTCCTTTCTTACCCATGTTTCCCTGAAAATAAGACATCCTCCGAAAATAAGACCTAAAGCATGGAAAGATAAGGCATCCCCTGAAAATAAGACCTAGCGCAACTTTGGGAGAAAAAATGAATATAAGACACTGTCATATTTTCATGGAAACAGGGTAGAAAGCTTGGAATGCGGTGTCACCAGCAAAGCTCAGCATACAGTAGGTGATCTTGATCACCACCTATTCCCAGGAACAGCCGATGTTTAGGAGAAGATTCTAGTGGCTGTGAATAGTGTGGCCAGAAAGGTGCTAGGGCCCCAAATCTCAGGGCCTTCCTTGTCTGGCCTCTCTCACAACCACATCAAATCCAAGAGCAAATCCAGAAACCCATCTCACCCCTCATGAGTTCTTCCAAGATCTTACACTTGGACTAGAGGCCTGGTGAATGAAATTCATGCACAGGTAGGGTCCCTAGGCCTAGCTGGTGATCAGAGCTGATCTGTGGGGTAACCGATGGGGTGATCACCTTGGCTGGCCTGGCACCACCCACTCATTGGCCCCAGCCCTTGCTGCTGCCATGACAGGTGGGGCAATGCTGGTGGGGGGAGAGAGGAGGCGGGGGAGAGGGGGCTGCTCGCACCCACCTTGGCTGGCCTGGAGTCTGCGGGCTAGAGGAAGCTCCTGCATTGAGCATCTGCCCCCTGGTGGTCAGTGTACGTCATAGCGTACACTGACCAGTCATTCCACCATTCAACAATTTGCATATTAGGCTTTTATTATATAGGATTATTCTAAACACTTACTAACTGGTCTCCCTGCTTCTGCCTGCCTCCTACAGAGAACTCACAGTCCAGTAACCAGAAGGACGCTTTCAGAAGAGGAGTGAAATCATGTCACTCCTCTGCTCAACCCTGCAGTCCCTCCCTGGGCCCTTGCTCCACACCCTCAACCCCCAAATCTGCTCCCCAAACATCCAAGACATACTGCCTGCCACTCAGAGGGGACTTGAACTAAGGCTGGCCCTACACCAGGTCACTTAAGTCTCTAGGGCCTCATTTACACACTTGTAAAGAGGAAAATAGATGAAAAGTCCTTGTGAGGATTAAGCCAGGAAGTATGTCTTGGGCCAAGCATGTCAGACATGCGGCCCACCAGCCGGGAGTTTGACATGCTTGGTCTTGGCCCTTAAAACAAGGATGCAAAGTCAGAGCTCCTGGGAGTTAGCTATTGCTGAATCTAATGCCATCAGTTGTTCTGTGTTTCTTCCTTACCTCCTTCTCTCCCTCCAAATCCCTGTAGGAGCCCACCATTGTTACTCCACAGAGAGGCAGATTGCCAGCCAAGCTGTCTTGGCCTCTACTCTGGCTCTGACTTGCCCAGAGTCTCCTGCCAAGATGCTCAAACTCAGGGCCTGTTTCCCCATCTGTAAAATGGGGATAACAGTGCTACCCTGAAGGGGTGCTGGAAGGATGAAAGCTACACTATATACGCAGCCCCCGGCATTTAGCAGGGCCTCAGGTAACGTTAATCAGCCAGCTAGTCAATACCTTAATTGAGGGTCAACTCTTCTGCCAAGCACTAAGCTGGGACTAGTAAGCAAATGATGGGGGAGTGGAGAGAGGCTACTGGGGAGGAGCCCTGAGTTTAGTCTGGGGTTAGGCCAGGAGCTTAGAGGGCTCAGAGAAAGCTTTTGAATCTAATTTTTTTTTTTTTCTTTTTAAATGAAGCAGGAGGGAACAGTGTTCTGGGCAGAGGAACAGGCTTAAACGAAGGCCCTGCAGCAGGACTAAGAGGATGTGCCAAGAACTATGCCTGAGGTGAGCCTCCCACCTCTTCACCCTCCAATCCAAGGTCAAGGGGAGAAGCCAGGTGCTCATGGCCCCTCTCACCCAATAACTGTTGATTGGCCCTCCCAGGTGCCAGCACCTGCTACACCTGGTTCCTCTTGTTTATCTCAAGGAGAAATGCAGGAAGTGAAAACAAGCCCTACGGAGCGAAATGATGTGATCAAGGTCATGCAGACAAGGTTCACGCACCAGGATGAGAACCCTGGTCTGGATTCCCACACCTCCACTCCTTCAGCACCTGCCTTCTACCATCAGAATCCCATGGCAGAATTGGGCCGGACAGAACCATGTCTAAGGTCACAGAGCTGGAAAGTGGCAGGACCAGGGTTTGCACCTGGTCCCAGCTCTGCAGCTCTCTACCATGCAGACTCTGGACTTTCCCACTCCCAGGACTCAAGTCCAATGTGCCGGAGGGCATTCAGGGGAAACACTCACCATGTCACACCTCCACTTTTCATTAAACCTGTCTGACTCTGGCTCTGGGAGGCCCTGGGATTTAACCATCCGGGGATTCTGGTTCCTTCCAGCTCAAAAGCCCAGCAGACTGACTCCACCATGAACAAGCCTTTCATGCTGCCTCTGGCCAAGACCTGGAAGGACATCCTCGTCGAGGCCACAAGATCCTTGGAATTAACCACCTAAATGCAGCCAGCTCCCGACCCGGGCTTCCAGAGCTGGATGGTCAGCATCTAAAGCCAGGAGGTCTCCGAGGCCTTGACCCCGGGGGAGGCGCACCTAGCCATCACAGGCAATTTCCATTTTCCTTCTGCTTTCAAAAAAAAAAAAAAAAAGGAAAGAAATCGCCTCGAAATCTCTTTCTTGTTCCTGTTTCTCATCTTCCCTCGGTAACTCTGTAAAATGACTGATGGTATAAATACAAACATGGCTGAGGTTCAACAAGAGGCTTCACCATTTCTACTTTTCATGCCCTTCTCTTCAAAAATAAACTTCTGGGACTCCAGGAGCCAGCCCCAGGAAGCCCAGGGGAGTTTTCCTCTCTTCTGCACATGTTAGGCCCGTACAGGATATTATACAAAATCCCAGGAAACAATTCTCTGTTAAAAACCAGCCGTCACACCCCTGAGAGGTACCATCCCTGGTACTGCTGGAGGGATGCATTGCTGCCCTCGCCCCCACCCTGCAGCATCAGGACTCAGGTGTCACTGGAGGAGACACAGGCAGGATCAGCCACTGCAGGTAGGGGTGAGCATTAGTTCAACTTGATTATTTTAGGACAACCTGTGAGCATCTAGTAAAGGATGCATATGCTTTGATCCAATAATCACATATGTGCAGAAAGAAACAGGAACAAAGATGTTCACAGAGGCCTCACTTGGAACAGAAAAAGAGAAAGAGAAACAACGCAGGAAACAAGCTAACTGCCCATCAATTTCGGGGGGAGGAGGGAGTTTAGGTAAGAGTCCTGTCCATAAATAATGAAACACACACTTTAAAGAGCACACCGTAGCTCTTGGAGAGAATGAGAGTGATTTATAAGCGATTTGATCTGGAAAGGTCATGAGAGAGATGAAAAAGAGTTGCAAACCAGTCAGTATAAGATAATTTAGAAATTTACATTTCTAAAAGGCTGTTTACTTATAAGCCCAGGAGAGCCGTTACCATGAGGCAGTGACAGAGGGGAGAAAGGATGACGACATTTTATTAATTTAAGTGGTGACACAGTGGATGAGTTTTTCTTCTTTGTGTTTCACTGCTTTCTAAACGAAGAACTGTTTTCAGGTTTTCTCACTGGCCACTTTCCACGGACTCCACCCAGCAAAAGGGCTCCGCGTGGGAGTGCCGCTCTGCCTCTCCCAGAGAAGCCTCAGATGCCCAAGGTGAGGCGGTGGGGAGGCAGAGGCACCAGTAGGCAAGTGCAGCATCAGTGAAGCCTGCAGCTAGGACCTCGGGTTCTCTCCCTGAGCCGATCCACAGGTGGCGCACACACCTTCGTTATCAGGGTAAGTGCCTGGGACTGGCACAGACCCCTGAAATGAGTGAGCCCTCCCTGAAGAACTGTAACAGCTAAGGTTGATGTCCTGAGCCCCACGCAGACACCGTACCCAGAGGGTGAGGAACTGGCCAGGTACGCTTTCCATAGAAACGCCCCAACTCTCAGCACAGCCCTGCCGTGTGGCCCGCTGTCCAGGGGAAGAAACTCAACTTGCCCAGGACCGCACAGCTGGAACCGAAATTCAAATGAAGTTGACTAAAAAGGCCACCTGTTCCCCTTGAGCCACGTCGGCCCCTTCACTCCTCCATACTCTCTTGGTCTCATTCAAAGATGAGAACGGGATGGCTCAGAGTCCCTCCCCCGCCTCCACCCAACCTCCCGTCCACACGGGACCCCTCTCTCCCTCCAATTCCTCCGCTATGGGAGTAAGGACCTCTTTGGGATTCCAAAACACAGCCAGGAAAACGCACACAGGGCACACTTAACGATGCACCCGACTGCGGGGTGGAAGAGGGAACCGCGAATGCCCCGCCCCCGCCCCCGCCCCCCAACGCGGTCCCGGCCTCTCTCTCCGGGGGAAGGGCTGCGCCTCCGCGGAATAGTGCCGCCCCCCTCCCTCCCTCCCTCCCTGTGGTCCTCCCTCCACCATCTACCCTTCCTCCACCCCTCCCTCCACCACCTGTGCAGTACGGGGAAGTGCCGGGCCCGCCTGGCCGCGCGGAGACGCCGAGCCCGGGGCACCCGGGCGGCCAAAGCTCAGCCCGACCCCACTCGGGACCCCGCGGCCGCCGGAGCGCGTCCTGTCCCCCCCAGCGCCCGCCCGCCGGCCGCCCGGGACCGCCCGCCGCGCCGCTTCCTCCGGTTCCCATTCAGCGCCGGGGCCGTCCCAGGGCGCAGTGGCTCCAGCCCCGCGAGAGGAAGTGTCCGGTGGCCGCGCCCGGACCCCTGCCGTCCCCGCCCGGACCTCCGGCACCGCGGGTGGGCACCCAGGCACCGCTCCCACCCCTGCCCGCCCGCGCCCGCAGTGCCCCGCGCAGGTCCCACCTGGACGCAGCCCCCTCGGAGCGCACCCCGCGGGCTCCGATCGCCGGGCGCCCCCGTGCGCTCTACCCACCCCCTCCCACGCCCCGGGGCTGGCCACCCACCTGGCCGCCCCGCCGGGTCCCGGCTCCGGGGTCCCGCGCGCAGCCGCCGGCCGCTCTGGGCACTCCCTGCGCTCACGCCCTCCGCCGCGGCGGCTGCTACTTCTGCTTTGGCCGCTGCCGCGCGCCACGTGACTCCTCCGGGGCCACCCCCACCCCACCCGCGCCCGGCCCGCCCCCCCGCACCCCGAGGTGCGCCCTGCCCGGTCTGCGGCTCTGAGTTCTCCCGCGGCGGACCTGGCAGGACACTCCAGCCCAGGAAGAAACCAGTAGGAGTAGGAGCGAAGTCTCTTGCAAGGTAGAGCGAAAATTTCTACATAGGGTAGCGTTTATGGAGCGCCTACTGCATACACGTGTTTTACATACATTTAATATACTCCTCATTACCAAGAATTGGCTGTTCATGGCCCTCATTTGAAATAGGCTGCGCTGATGTCTGACCACCTCTTAACCACCTGGGACAAACCACTTCCATACCCTCAGACAGGATCAAAATAGCGCTGACCCCAAAAGTCTGTTGTAAGGAATGCAGATTACCAGATGATTGAGCTTCCATTTTAACCAATGAGATTTTTATTTATTTTTTTTTATGGCTCCCTTTATAAACTTCTAAGCATATATTAATAGATGTCTTTGTTAAATGCCTAGTTAGGGTAGTAGATTCATGTAGCTAGCCAATTTTGAGTCACATACTGTATGTGTATGATGTAACATCTTTTGGAGAAATATATTGCTTTTTTTCATTCTCTGGTTTTGTGAAGCAATGGTATTCAAGCTTTCATATGTATCTCTGCTACAAATGCCTTTATGGTGACTAGGGTCACTTATAGAGCTGTAAGACAAGACACATGTTTTACTCCTTGAGTTACATCTTTTGAATCTAAGAATGTTGTTGTGACTGAGAATGTTATATTTGAAACCACAGGACTAGTTTGCTGGTTTTCACAAATCCATGGATTCATTTCTTTTTTAAAAATATATATATATATTTTATTGATTGTTTACAGAGAGGAGGGGAAAGGGATAGAGAGTTAGAAACATCGATGAGAAAGAAACATCAATCAGCTGCCTCCTGCACAACCCCTACTGGGGATGTGCCCGCAACCAAAGTACATGCCCTTGACCGGAATCGAACCTGGGACCCTTCAGTCCGCATGCCACAGACGTTCTATCCACTGAGCTAAACCGGTTTCAGCTGGATTCATTTTTTTTACTGCTCTTGTCTCAGGGTGAACCAGGACCCATCACCACAGATCACTTACTGCTCTGTTTTTTAAAAAGATATTTGAAAGGCTTGTTATAACATCAACCACTTGGAATCATGGGGCCAATTTGCTAGGAATAATGGCTAAATCTGGATTGTATTTCTTTACCTTGTTTTTTGTTTGGGGTTTTTACGAGATTTTTTTTTTTTTTTTCTTTTTCTTTTTTTTTTTTCTTTTTAGGACTTCAACTTATATTTCCACCCATCCTTTTAACAATTCTGTTTTGTAATGTTATATAATGTACCTGATGTATTAGTACAACCGCATATGTGCATAATTTGTTGTTGCAAAGTCCGCACGTACGGAGAACATGGTGGATCCGCTGAGAAAATGAGGCTGAGTGCAAACAGAACGTTTGGAGAGGCTATAGGACGCCTGGGCTCCTCCCTCTGTCCAAACAGATGCTCCTTCTGGCCAGAGTTTCCTCTGGTCCCCCGGGAGCGAGCAAGGAAGGAACGTGTACAACAGGCTTCCATTGAAAAGTGCTCTCTTAATCTATGCTTGCAAGCCTACAGTACTTTTCGAGTTAACATGTCTGTTGTATGTAAGATAATGGTCAGAGTAGACAGCAGCTTTTTTTATATTTTTAGTTGTGTTTTTCTTTGCCTCGTTTTTTACCCTCAGGTGAACAATGAGTGGAATGCAGTGCACTGAACAAGTGTTTGGGGCTCCTCGTCTCCTTTTTTCTCAAACTTCAACTTGGCTGTTGAAAATAAAATAATGAAGGCAGCAGCCCCGGTTCTGGAAGGACTTGAAGACAAAATGACACTTCTTTTCCAGGGCATGATGGGAAGGGGGAGAAGTCACCCTGTATAGTCAGGCATATGCTGCAGAAAGCCTGTCGTGGGTTGGCTACGGTATGACAGTAAGGAGGTGGATGGTGGGAGCAGGATTTGCACCCAGGTCTATCCGCTGCCAGAGCCCATGCGCATGCAGGCCCACTGCCCATCCCCAGCATTAATAGGAGGCATTCAGGCAGGGAGAGGGAGATTGTAACCGATCCACAGACATTCACAAATGGGTCAGGAAGTGACCTCAGAGGGTGGAGGGAACTTTCTTTTCCTTTTCATATAAAAAGAAAGAAGGGGAAGGGAGGCTAGCCTAAGAGAAAATAGTCTTTTAATCATCATTTCAACTTTAGATTCTATGTCCCTCACAAGTCCTCATATATATGCATTTTTCCCCCCCATAACCTTCTTCCATTTGCTAGCAGCCATGATGCATTGGACCATTAATCCCTCGGCACCTCAGTTTGCCTCTCTGCAAAATGGGTATAGGTAAAAACTTTACCTACCTCCCAGGGTGATTATAAGGATTAAATGAGACAGTGGAGGCAAAACAGGCATCTCAATTCAACCATAAGGGCTATTTTTAATATTGTTTCTGGGAAGAAAAAGCTCTCCAATGGGATGATGTGGACTTGGAGAACAGGAACACCTGAATTCAAGTCCAAGGTCTTTTATTTCCTTAGCTGTGTGACTTGAGCTGGTCAGTTACCCTCTCTGAACCTCCCAATTTCCTCATCCAATCCACCTTGGGGATGCCACAATAGGGAAAACTATAAAGACAGAACACTTGCCAGGGGATTCTATTGGTTGGCATGTCATCCTGTACACTGAAAGTTTGCAGGTTCAGTCCTTGGTCTGGGCACATACAGGAGGCAATCAGTCAAACTTTCTCTCTGACATCCATGTTTTTCTCTCTCCCCACTCGTCTCTCTCTAAAATCAATAAACATATCCTCGGTAGAGGATATTAAAAACAGCTATAGAGACAGAAAGTAAAATAGCAGGTGCCTAGGACTGAGGAGAAGGGGCATTGGAAGGAGATGACCAAGGCTTTCTCTTTGGAGTGAGGAAAGTGTTCTCAGACTGATTGTAATGGTAGTTAAGCATCTCTGGGAATATATGAAAAGCCATTGGACTGTACCCTTTAGATGGCTGAATTGTATGGCATGTGAATTATATCTCAATAAAGCTCACACACACACACACACACACACACACACACACACACAAAATACCTAAAGAATTCAAGCCCTAACTGGTTTGGCTCAGTGGACAGAGTGTCGGCCTGCTGACTGAAAGGTCCCAGGTTCGATTCCAGTCAAGGGCATGTACCTTGCTTTGCGGGCACATCCCCAGTAGGGGGCATGCAAGAGGCAGCTGATCAATGTTTCTAACTATCTCTTTCCCTTCCTCTCTGTAAAAGTCAGTAAAATATATATATATATTTTAAAGGTAACGGGTGACAAAGAGCTTAGCATAACGCAGCCATTGGTAAGTGACAGGGTCTCATCATTATAACCGTTATTTTACAGTGGGCCTCCTAACCCAGCCTCCCTCCCTGCAGCCAGGCTGCGGCCCACCACCCTGCCCCAGGAAGCCTTGCCAACCTCCCCTCCGCCCCCACAGCCAAAAATGACCAGAAAACCCCAAGAGCCTTTGAGTTTGGTTTCCTTTCCCGACATTGTTCAGAGAAGTGCATGTCCCCTGGGGACAAGCTGGGTCCCAGCTGCTGGTTGGCAGGCCGCTGTGACAGGAAGTACCACCCAGAACTGGCTCCCAGAACGTGTCAGGGTTAGGCCCAGCCTCACTGCTTCTGCGAGGGGTGGTGGGGTGGGGGGGTGACCCCTCTACCTTGTACATTTTTTTTTAATATATATTTTATTGATTTTCTACAGAGGAAGGGAGAGGGATAGAGAGCTAGAAACATCGCTGAGAGAGAAACATCAACCAGCTGCCTCCTGCACACCCCCCACTGGGGATGTGCCCACAACCAATGTACATGCCCTTGACCGGAATCGAACCTGGGACCTTTCAGTCCTCAGGCTGACGCTCTATCCACTGAGCCAAACCGGTTTCGGCTATCTTGTAAATTTTTTTATTGAGGTACAATCGGTATACAAAACCTGCACGTGTTTTATGCACACCATTTGATGAGCTCAGACACACGCATATACCTGTGTTACCTGCACCACAATCAAGCTATTAAATAGATCCATCATCTCCAAACATTTCCTGTCGTTGCTTTGTGTGCTGTGCTCTGTGTGTGGATGGTACTTAAGATGGTATTTACCTTCTTAACAAAATGTTAGGTGTGCAATACAACTACAGGCACACTATGGGACAGCAGGTTGCTAGAATTTACTCCTGCATCACAGAAACTTTACACCCACTGAACACCTCCCCAACGCCCCTCCTCCCAGCCCCTGGCAGCCACTAGCAGTCTATTTTAGATACTTCCTATGCGAGGGATCACACACTGTTTGTCCTCCTGTGACTGGTTTGTTTCACTTAGCATCAAGTCCTCCTGGTTCATCCATATTGTCGAATGGCAGGATTCCCTTCTCTTTAAAGGCTCAATAATACTCCGTTGTGCATATATACAACATTTTCTTTATTCACTTATCCATCGATGTACATTGAGGTGGTTTTCACCTCTTGCCTATTGGGAATCATGCTGCAATGAATTGAGGGGTGTGGGTAACTGCGATCCTGCCTTCAATTGTTTTGGATGCAGTCCCACAAGCGGGACGGCTGGACCATATGGTAGTTCTACTTTTTAATTTTTTTTTGAGGAACCTCCTTGCTGTATCTCACAGGAGCTGCGCCAATTTACATCCCCACCAAGAGGGCATAAGGGTCTCTTCCTCCATAACCTTATCAGCACTTCTTTTTATATATAACAGCCATCCCAGCAGGAATGAGGTGATATCTCATTGTGGTCTTGATCTGCATTTCCATGATAATCAGTAACACCTACCACCTTTTCGGATGCCCTTTGGCCATTAGAATGTCTTCACTGGAGAATGTGTAAGTTCTTTGCCCATCTTTAAACCAGGTTATTCGTGGGGGTTTTGTCTGTGTTTTTGAGATTGAGTGGTAGGAGTCTGATAGTAGAACTGGGGCCTGCTTGGAAGAGCCCCGGCCTCATGGTTGTCCTTTGGACTTCTCAAGCCTTGGGTTCCTGCTGGGGCTTACTGATTCATTCAGCAAACACTTGAGTGCATGCAAGAGGCCAAATATCGCTGGGCTCCGGGGACGTAGCAGTAAGGATCCAAGTCCCACCCAATGAGCATATGTGTAGTTGGTGGGGGCAGGGGCGGGGGTGAGGGTGGGGTGGAGGAGACACACAAAGGGGCACTAGCATCAGGCTAACCTGGTTTGAATCCCAGTTGTGCCCTCACGGTGTGGCTCTGCACAGAGCGTCCACCCTCTGTGAGGCTACGTTTCCTCACTGCAGGTAGGGTAGCTGTGGAGGAGCGGGCCAGCTCAGGCACACCCAGGCCCCGAGCACTGTTCCTAGTTAAACAGGACCCCAGAGCTGGCGTGGCCGTCTCTGCATTGTGATGGAGGCACAATCCGCTGTCCCTGCTGGGCTGAGAACCCTTTCCCAGGCCCCAAGTCCCATGTAAAATTAAGAGAGCCCGTGTAAAACCAAGGGTAGCAGTGTGTAAGGGCAGCTGAGAATGCAGGACAGGGACACAGGCCTGTGTGTGAGTTCTGGTTCCATCACTTACCCTTCTTGTGTCCACAGTGATTTAGTTTCTCAGAGCCTCCGTTTCCCACTCTGCATGGCTGAAAACAAAGCTCCTGCCTGTGGCGGCTGGCCTATCAGTTAGGATGTGCTCAGCTTCCAGAGAAAGGCCACCTATAACCTCACATTGCTGGAAACACAGGAGGGTTGAGAGGCAGGCATGAAGCAATCAGAATTTTGAGTACGTCAAAGGGACCGCGATTATTTCCATGTCCGCCTCTCCCGGCAACCAGGCCTGCCAGGGGCAAAGCCTGAGAGGGAAAATCCTCCAGCCCCGGGCACACTTCCCCTCTGGTGTCCTTGGCCAGAGTCTGGTCACAAGCCCGTCCTGCCTCAGTTACTCTAAGAGAAATGGTATCCGTATCTGGCTGGACGCTGGGGATAGAGTCAACTTTCTCCATGTCATGTGAGGGTCCCCGTGGGGGTGTGGCAGCACAGGAGGGAGGTTAAACGATGTGACATGGGCCGCCCATGGGGGTCTGTGGTTGTCACAGAGCTATGTGAGGTGGCAGCTCAGAAAAAGAAGTCACCCCAGTACCACTTCTGTTCCCACCACAGGCCAGCAAGCTCCCCTACTCAGTTCTCTTATTCATGCAACAAACACGGAGCCCTATTCCACACCACCCACTGAGTGTTAGTGTCCAGGGGCTGGGTGACAAAGCACTGCAAATGGGATGGCTTACGCCGACAGAAGTTCTGAAGGCCAAGGTCTGAACTCAAAGTGTCGGCAGGGCTGCTTCCTCTGGAGGCCCAGGCAAGGCCTCTCTCTCTCAGCCACTGGTGGCTGCGGCCAGCCTTGGTGTCTCCTGGCTTGGAGCTGCATCACTCTAATGTCTGCTCCATCTTCTGTGGCCTTCTGGCCCATGTCTGTGTCTCAAACCACCCTCTCCTTTATCTGCTGTGGATTTAGAGCTGCCTTAAATCCAGGTCTCATTTTGGGATCCTTAATTACATCTGCAAAGACCCTACATCCGACTAAGGTCACAGTCACAGGAACAGGCCTTGGGACTTAGATCTTTATGGGGGTCACACTTCAACCCACTCTACCCTGTAAATAGGGTAGCCTGTTTACAGCTCAAGGGGTTGACAGCAGTAAGAGGTCTTACAACCATAGAATGGCACCAGCGGGGTTAGAAGGATAAAGCAAGGCTTGGGAAGTCCTCTCAGAGAAGAAGTCTTGAAGGATGTGCAAGT